TTTCCTGTATTTATGGCACGACTTCAAAGGAGTCATGACATCTCTGCAGTCCTGGTGCATGTTCTGGCATGATGAGTACTTGAACCTCAAAATAAACATAACTGCAAGTATTTGGCCTTTCACAACTACAGGCTGAAACTACTTCTGTAAACATGGACCTGCAGCTTTCACGGACAGGCTTTCACCACATTGTGACTCAACCTCAGCCTTCCTGGGAATTCTGTTGGCCTTTCATAGGATTCCAGCTCATGAATACCTAAATGCTGTCCACTAACCCCAGCTGGGTACCATTGTGATGCCTTATAAAAATATGCCAACCCTAGTAGACACAGAGGAGTTCTGAATGGGAGAAGGGCAGAGAAGAGAAGGTTCTTTTCATTTCTTCATTTTTTTCATCTTGCCAAGCACATGGAGGCGAAGCAGCAAAGGCTATCCACGCTGCATCAGTTGTTTGAGAATGCTTGCTGAAGACAGATAACTTTCCCAGTACTCTAGCTTGGAAGCAAAATGTTTAAACAAAGAGTTTTATTCAGAAGACATTGTTTTACATGTAATACATTACATTTGGGGAACATACAGGAATATTTTTTCAGTTTCTCATTAACCCTGCCATGTTCCAGGGGAATGTTTATTTGTTCTATCCCAAACATTCTTTATTTATTTTCAGTGGATTATATGGTGGGTTTGTTGTTGTTGTTGTTGTTGTTGTTGTTGTTGTTGTTGTTGTTGTTGACGCTTCTGGCAATTTATTGGATTGTCTAAATTAAAAAATGTATTTAGTATGTGCTTCTAATGCATTACCCCTAAAAACAGCACAAATGTTATTGCATCATAAAAATGTCAAAATAGCAAGTTATCTTATTTGTTAGCCATTTTAGGTAACATTATACAGTGTGGTCTTTAATCCCAAATATAGAAGTCCTATTTCTTAGATTGCACTTTGGATCCTCAGGCCAGGCGCAGTGCCACTTCCACACAACATAGCATATGTGCATTTCACTTTGCCTTGGACCAAGATGTCACCCTTTTCCAGATAATCTCCCATCTCCATTCTCTCTCTCTCTCTCACACACACACATATATATATGACTTCTAATGACATACTTCAGTGCTAAGCAGTTTGTCAGTTTCTAAAGCTTCCATTAACTTTTCATTTGCGGCAAGCACCAGCCAGACTTGGAAGGAAGGTAATTTTTTTTTTAAAAAAAAAGTATGATTACAGTCATCATCTTTTGATCCAAGGAGTGCAATGGCAATGAAATGACATGTTTTGAATAACTCTATATATGTTTTGCTCGCTAAAATGAGCTCAACTTCTCTTCCTTGCAACTTCAACCTAGTCATCTGATTAAAAGGCTTTGTCTTATGACATCTTCCACACTGAAGCAACAGGCACAATTTTTGCCATTGTTACAAGTCTGGCTAGCAAAGGTAAAGGTTTCCCCTGACATTAAGTTCAGTTGTGTCCAACTCTGGTGGTTAGTGCTCATCTCCATTTCTAAGCCAAAGAGCCAGCATTGTCCATAGACACCTCCAAGGTCATGTGGCCTGCATGACTGCATGGAGCGCCATTACCTTCCTGCCAGAACTATTGATCTCACATTTGCATGTTTTCGAACAGCTAGGTTGGCAGAAGCTGGGCCTAACAATGCAAATTCATGCCACTCCCCAGATTCAAACCTGTGACCTTTTGGTCAGCAAATTCAGCAGCTCAATGGTTTAACCCACTGCACTGTAGGGGGCTCCTACAGGTCTGGCTATTATTATTTAACAATGATGGTCTAAACTGTGGTTCCCAACCTTTTTTTCATCAGGGACCACTTGACCAGGCACCACTCTTCAACATTAGTATCAAAAGGGTTATGAATCAGCTTTGGGTCAACTTTAGATTCGGTTTGGTGATTTGGGGTGCTGATTCAGAAAATTGCATTGGATAGACCACTTCAGCTCTAGTTTCTGATACAGAGCATATGCCATCCAGTAGCTGCCATCTGCTCACCCACAGAAAACCATATTTAATAATCTAGAGCAGATGTGGTGGTAGTAATCTTTTCCGGGTAGTAGCCTCTCCCCTCCTGATATCCCTCTTGCCTGGCACTGTAAGAGGGTTTTGCAAGGCCAGTTGCTCTCATTGATTTCAAGGCAACAGTGTAGTAATAGTGAGGCCATGGACCATATTTTCGTTCTTGCGGACCACTGGTGGTCCATGGACCACAGGTTGGGAACCAATCATCTAAACTGTCCATTCAGCTTCTGTGCTCCAAGGAAGTGTAAACGATCTTTCCACATAAGCATAGCATTTTTTTTCCAAAAAGCAAAAATGCAACAGAGCTTGTGCAGGTTCCCATGGAAAAATCAGCACATGGAATTGCCTCTGCCAAACCTCCAAGATATGTGGTTGTGGTGATAGTAGGGGGCCTTCTACTGAGGAGAACAGGAGCAGTGGCTTGCAGGCTTGATAGGATGACTTGAGAGATGTGTTGTCTCCATAGAGCTAAAATTTTAGATGTAACAGAGAGGCTGACAAGGCTTTTCAAGCCCACAGACCATTACTCTTTCTTTTTGGTCCATGCAGGAACCAATGACACTGCAAAGCATAACTTTCGGAAGAGATCACATGAGATTACAAAGTTATGGTCACTGAACTCTGGTCATAGTTTCATCTCTAAACTAACACACATGATATGTGATTTCAGCTACTACAAGAACTGTGGGTTCAAGGCCCTGCGTTCCAAGCTTCAAAGGAAGGAATGAGGCACAGACAGGTTGAAGTCAAAGAAACAGAGGCTTTATTCACCTTGGCCAAAGTGGCTATCAGCAGAGTCAACACTGTAAAAAATGGACATAATCCACTGCAAACATACAGGAATGCTTATAGGACTTTGACAGTGGTTAGAAACAAAGGGCTTTTGTTGCCCTGAGTGCTGATTGGCTCAGCTTGGGACCAGATAGGATCCACATGCCGGTTGGCTCATGCACTCGGTCCATGGTCGTTATTGATTGGCTCATGGGTCTGGCAGGAACTTTAATAAACTGTCATTTGAAGTTTTGTGGCTGTTTTCTTGGTTCACCCATGGTGGGGTGCAGGAGGAAAGGAATGTGTGCGTGGGGGGGGGGGGGAGGTCTGAGTCAATGACTGCTAATAACTACATTCTTGTTTGGTTGGAGTAAGAAAATGGGTCCTGGCTACCTAAACAATGGGTGGCAAGGGTGTTGGCAAGGCCTGAATGGACTCTGAGAAAGAGAGTTAGATCATGTGTTTGGGATTTGAATGACTTCCCAGAGATAATTTGTGTTGGGAAATGCCCTAGGTCCATTGTGAAATGGACCTAGGGCTGTTGTAAGAGGATTACGTCCCTTTCCTGGATGAGATGATGGAAATTACCCTGAGGTGTATATAAGTGTTTCATGCAACTTTAAAAAAAAACAAAAACAAAAAGGAAACAACAACAACAACAAGAACAACAGGAGTATTTCCAGTCTCTGGGCTAAGATACGTAGGCCTCTACAGAAAAAGCATTACATTAATTGAAGAAATAAGAAAAGTCAAGGGGATTACAGCAGCGAGGTTTTCTATTTCAGGAGAGACTTTCACACAAATCTCTCCCACTCATTCAAAGGCATTCCCAAATTGCTCTATAAATCTAGCAAATTGTTGGTGTTTTCTCTCTTTCCTCCCTACCCCACCTCTAATAAAAGCATTTAGGCCAAATGGATCTGATTTGCATATGTTGAATGGAACAAAATGTTCTCAAGCTGTAAATTCTCTTGACATATCTGATTGGGATAATTACAATGCCATGGGAGACTTTCAGCCTTGCTAAAAATAGGAAGATGAGAACTGATGGACTGACAGGCAACCTGGAATGATCTTTTGAAGCAAAAGGAATGTGATAAAATTGATTCAAACTTTGGGCCATGTTTTCTTACTTTCCGTACACACACTAACTTCCTGTTTACCTATCTGGGTAACATCCAACTTACAGATGACTCATAGTTAAGAACAGGGCTGAGATAACAGAAAGTGAGAGAAATCTACCCCTAGGAAGGGAAATTCACTCCTGAAAGAGTTATTATCATGGGGAAAAAAGAGTCTCAACTGCAGCTTTCCCACCAATCCTTGTTACTACAATAAGCCAATTTTTTCAGAATCCCTTATCACAGGGACTGGAAAGTGAGGTGAAATCTTCTGAACTGGGGCACAGACAGCAAAAACAAACACCAAGGGGTGTTAACCTTTCCCTATGCTAAGCTTATATACACACACAACACACATACAACACACACACTGTATATGTGTGCGTGTATGCTATCCCTATGCTATCCAAAGTGTGTGTGTGTGTATATAGCTATATAAATAAAAATGTAATGTTTGTTTGTGGGATTAACATAACTCAAAAACCACTGGACGAATTGACACCAAATTTGGACACAAGACAACTATCAGGCCAACGAGTGACCATCTCTCATAAAAACACTGAAAAGCATAGCGGAAGAGACTTTAAAAGCCAAAAAATAAAAAATACATTACAACGCATGTGCAAAACCACATAAATACACGCAAACACACACATATACACAAATATATACACACACAAAACACATATACACAGACTGGGCCACAGCAATGCACGGCAGGGGATGGCTAGTGTGTGTGTGTGTGTATGGGTATGTATATGCGTGCATGCGTGTGTGTGTATATATTGAATTTATATGTAAGCCAGTATATATATATATATATATATATATATACACACACACACACACACACACACACACACACACACACACACTCACACACACACTCACACACACATACACAAGGTGGGGGGAGAAAAGAGTGTGTAATCAAATGGACATGAATGGCAGGATAAATAAAGGCAGGCCAGCAGGAATTGAACTGCAATCATTTTTGAACCAAAGGTTTCTACTACAGCTGCTTAAAAATGCCAAGGATTGAGAGAAGCAAAAACACCCCTCCCCAAGGAAAAAAAATCAGGTAACACCATATATTATTTTATTTTTCCCTTTTTGGACAGTACATGGTTCAAATAAATTATGAGGTTCACAAAAATTATTGAGGTCTTCAGTACCATTATAAAGCAACTATATCATGTAAACATTAGCTGAAAGAGCTGTTTGCATGAAGCACGCTTGAGACCCATCCCCACCCGTCATTGTCAGCAATAGGGACAATTCTCCCTATTTAGCCTATTGAACTTTCCAAGTAGGACAATGGGGAAAATGCAGCCTATGGTCTTTGTTTGCCCACTAGTCCCTATGGCAGTATTTGAAACTGTTGCTATTGGCTTTCACTAAGGCCAAGAGAGTGTAAACAATAGCTTTCCTTGACTGAGTAGGGATTTGAACCCTGATCTCATGAAGTCCGAATCCAACACTCTCAGGGGTGCCTTGTGCATTCCTGAATGGCAGAATGGTGTAGGACTGGATGGTCCTTGAGGCATCTATGTTTCTGTGATTCAAAAGATGGAGGCAGGGAGCTCCAGACACTGTGAGCAACCACTCAGAAAGCTTTCTTTCATGCATCAATGATAATGGTTGAACTGAAGTAGCATTGTGTATCAAGGATATCTACACTTCTGAAGAGATTGAGAGGCAAGTCATGGAAGCCAGGTTGAAAGCATCTAGATGAAAATTAAGGAGGAAAGAAATAACAGGGATATCATTGTGGGAGTTTAGTATCGACCTTCTTGCCAGACTGAGGACTTAGATGATGTCTTCTGACCACACATTCAGAAAAGAGGGAGTTAAAAGTAATGGGAAGTTCCAACTATCCTGACTCTTAAGAGCTGTTGGAAAGTGGGATATGCTGCTGCCTTGAAATGCAGTAGGACTCTATGGAAAGAGGCTGGATGGTTGTTTGAAATGAGTACTTTGATTGTTCTTTTCCTGCAATGGTAGAATGCGATTAGATTTGATGACCTGTCGATCTCTTCCAACTCTACGATATTTAAGGGATATCGGATCCAATGACTAAGTCAGTGGAGGCTCAACACAAAGTTTTGATAAGCATTCCTTTCATGTTCCCAGGAGTGGTGTTTTGTGACATACTCCTTTGCCTTTGTTACAATCTTTCTCTGAAGACAAGGATCGCTGATCAGGTTTTTGGACAGTTGAACAAATTCCTGAAAAGACAGAAAATTATCATTAACATTATAATCACTGCACTGTCAATGTTTATGATACATAACAAAGGATCAGAGGGCAGGGGCCTGTCCCAAGGTGACTGCATGGCAGTCTACAGATTTTTGTTTTTCCGTGTCAAAAGAATTGCATAAAGAGCAATGCTTTGAGGTTGGAAAGATTAGCCTCTTACAAGAAACGATGCCCAGGGGACACCCAACTGTATTCACTTAGTCTTTGAGGAGGCTCTTTCCGTGTCCCCCAGGCTACAAGCGGTACATGGTCTATAGGTGAAGTAAAGTGAAAGGGAGACAGAGGAAGAACTGCCCTGCATATCACTTACTAGAGAACTGGGGGCATATACAGCAGGTTCAAAGATGGGGTGAGGGATACATTTTGACAGAAAAGGGGTGTAGTAAATCGGAGCCCCCGGTGGCGCAGTGGGTTAAACCACTGAGCTGCTGAACTTGCTGACCAAAAGGTCACAGGTTTGAATCTGGGGAGTGGGGTGAGCTCCCGCTGTTAACCCCAGCTTCTGCTAACCTAGAAGTTCGAAAACATTTAAATCTGAGTAGATCAATAAATACCGCTCCAGTGGGAAGGTAATGGCGCTCCATGCTGTTATGCCGGGCCACATGGCCTTGGAGGAATCTACGGCCAACGCAGGCTCTTTGACTTAGAAATGGAGATGAGCACCAACCCCCAGAGTCGGACACGGCTGGACTTAACGTCAGGGGAAAACCTTTAGCTAGGGCAGGATTAGGGTTAAGGTTAGGGTAGGGTAGGGAATCCGAAATAATAAAATCTGGTTCTTCTGGTGGTTCTCTAAATATATATAGATGGCCACAACTTCATCTCATCATATCCTAACTTTCCAGTTTTTACATGGTACTTACTACCCAAATTCTAAAGTGTTGAAATGCATCTCCTGAATATTTCTGCTCACATCTGAGCCCCGTTTTTTACACACACAGAGCATGTGGCTCTCCAAAATTAAATCTGGCTCTTAGTGTATGGGGACTAAATGGTTCTTTCACAGATGTCACAGGTTGGGTTTAAACAAGATAGGAATTAAGGTATATTAGGCACTAAAAAAGAAAGAAGTTCCTTAGAGAAGAACTAGAATCTTGGAGTAATTTAACTTTTTTGTGTGTCAGGAGCGACTTCAGAAACTGCAAGTTGCTTCTGGTGTGAGAGAATTGGCCGTCTGCGAAGGCATTGCCCAGGAGATGCCTGGATGTTTTGATGTTTTACTATCCTTGTGGGAGGCTTCTCTCATGTCCCCACATGGGGAGCTGGAGCTGACAGAGGGAGCTCACCCGCGCTCTCCCCGGATTCGAACCTCCGACGTGTTGGTCTTCAGTCCTGCTGGCACAAGGGTTTAACCCACTGTGCCACCGGGAGCTCCTTATTGATTCAACTGCTACTAGTATTGAGAGAGTGGGTGGTCATTCCCCCTTTATGACTTGCCTGTGGCCATGTCCTTTCTCTCTGCATACGGAAAAGAGGAGTACCAGGTTTAAAAACCTTTCAATGTTCCAAAGCTCACTAGAAACAGACTTCTTTACCAAGTTTTTTTTTGATGGAAGCAATGAGTAATTTTAACTATGTTCCTCCTACTGCAAGGAAGTATTTTGCAATTTGGGTCAAATTCTGTACAAAATTCATATGATGGTTTTGTACAGAAAACAACGTCGATATGCAGAAATTTGGTTTCCTGCACAAGCAAATTTTGGAGCATAAACCCCAACCTTCAAAGACCAGTATTTCTCTTGGAGCCCCCAGTGGCGCAAAAACTCTGGTGCCGGTAGGACTGAAGACTGACAGGTTGGAGGTTCGAATCCGTGGAGAGTGCGGATGAGCTCCCTCTGTCAACTCCAGCATCCCACAAGGATGGTAAAACATCAAAACATCCCCTGGGCAACATCCTTGCAGATGGTAAATTCTCTCACACCAGAAACGACTTGCAGTTTCTCAAGTTGCTCCAGACAAATAAAGCATTCCTCTTGTAATGGTTTCTAGATACACAAAAAACATGGGTATTTTTCTATGATGTTTCGAGTATTTTGAAATATTCTTTCCATCCCTACTCTAAGTCACTATGGAATTGATCTGCATGGAGCCTATTAAAAGGTATGCACACAAACTGTCAAATCAAAACGTACTTGTACATTTGTATATATACAAAAACTGCCTGCAATCAAGTACAGTCTTTCTGTTCAACCCACATGATGGAGGTAGGGTGGCAGCGAGACATAAGATATCCTTTTTCAAGGAAGCCAATTGCCTTTGTTAACAAAGCAATTCATTAGGGAAAACCACAAAGAACGATCAGCTCTCCGGGAAGAAAATGTTCGGTGCAATAATTTCCCCCCTTCCATGGGAGAGAGTGCGGGTGGTGAGACGTATTGCCAAAGATGAACGGAAATAGAGAATTCAACTTCCTGAGACTTTGCTTAATAAAATGCATTAATCATATGCATCCCCCCCCCCAAAAAAGAAAAAAAAGCATTTCCACTTTGCTCTTTTATTTAAGCTAGTTTTTAAAAAGAAGTTGTGCTTAGCTGATTATTGATGGAGGTCAAAATCTAATTTATGGAATCAACAGGATTAATTCTCCCAGGCTCCCCTCCATTCAAAGCCTAATTAAGGCCATGGGTTAATTAGGATATAAGGTGAAACTTCCAAGGAAACAATGTGCATGTGAAATGGACAAACTGGGAGCTTAAAAGCTAGGCAATCTGATTCTTGATTGTTGTTGCCACTTCTGTTACTCGGGTGCCAGGGGCATTGGGCTTTAGAATCCTAACAAGATTATGTTGGTGCAATTTAGCAGCGCTACAAGCCACTCAGAGCATGGGTTTATGGGAGAGAAAAGTGAGTTTGGGGAAAGGTTAAAGGACATTTGAAAGTCAGACATCAGATTCCCAAGCTTTAGATCTCAATTCTCACAAACTTATATACAGTGTTCCGTCACTTATTGCGGGGGTTCCGTTCCAGGACCACCCGCAATAAGTGAAAATCTGTGAAGTAGGGATGCCATATTAATTTTAATATTTATACATTATTTTATATATTGTTTTCTTACCCACACTTCCTTACCCACCTCCCAGCTCATCCCAAGGGCACCTGCCTGCCTCCCTGGCCTCCGCAGACTCCTGCAGAGCCTTCAGAGCTACGCAGGCGGCAGCAGGCCAGGGAGGCAGGTCTTCCCCGCCGCACCTCAGGCCATCACACTTCCGTTGTCTGTGGCGGCCAGGGAGGCAGACCTTCCCCGCCGCGCCTCGGGCCACCACACTTCTGGGGTCCCTGGCCTCCACTGGATGTAAATATTTTATATTTTTATTTTTTATTAATATTTTCAAAAACCCGCAAAACAGCAAGTCCGCTAAAAGCGAACCGTGAAGTAGCAAGGGAACACTGTACTAGAGTATAAGTCTAGTTTTTCAGCCCCTTTTTTAGGCTGAAAAAGTTCCCCTCGGCTTACACTCGAGTCAAGGTTATTTATTATTTTACTTTGTTATTAGTATTATTTTTATTACATTTATTATTTTACTCTATTATTATTATTATTAAATTTTCATTATTTACTCTATTATTATTATTATTATTATTATTATTATTATTATTACATTTATTATTTAACTCTGTTATTATTGGAAGGATAGGTAAGCACATTTACATTGAAGGAGGTTAGAATGATGGTTTAATCACAGTTGGGTAGTCTTTTCTTAAATTACAGTTTTATGTAAATACTCAAAAACATTTAACCTACTGATGATTACCAATAGCAGCTACCTTTCTCACCCTCAGCTTATACTTAAGTCAATACGTTTTCCCAGTTTTCCTTCGGTTTGGAAAAATGGAACAACAGCACCTCCCCATGGCTGAGTTGAGCACAGCCTCCACATGCCGGACATGAAAAAGAGGGAAGCCTTGCCTCTGTCTATGTATTATCTGTCTTTATTAATTTTATAACGGCATTGAATGTTGGCCATATATATATATATATATATATATATATATATATATATATATGTATATAAAAATACCACAAATAATAATAATAATAATAATAATAATAATAATAATAATAATAATAATAATAATATTCTGTGATCCGCTCTGAGTCCCCTCAGGGAGATAGAGTGGAATATAAATAAAGTATATTATTATATTAATGAGCAAGTAATTTAGAATTACAAATCCTCAGTGTCGTAACAGAATAATCCTATGAATGCTTGCTTCCAGACGAGTGTGCATAGGACTGAATCATGCCCCATATATTTTTCTTTGTTACCTCAGGGCTTGAATATAACAGCCCAGTTTCTTTGTGTGTGATTATTGCAGCATTTCCTGGGATATTCCTTGCCAGTACCGGAACCTTTAAATCCATGGCCTACAAAATTAAAGAGAAGAAAAAGGCTTCCATCAGTTAGTGGTCCCTGGTCAAGTGGTCGCCAGTCAACAAAAGTTTGCGAACCACTGTTGTAGATGCACCCAAAGCTTGCTAAAGAGCTCTGCATCATTTCAAATGGTGATTGTATATTTTGTGCAGTCAACAAACACAATAGTACAATTAAAACTGAAACCAGAACTTTTTCCACTCGACCTGTAATGGATGAACAGATGGAGAAGAGGCATGGACAAATGATCTAATATATGATCACAGTTACCATAGTGCTCTACATACAGAAACAGAAGGACATGGCTATATGGTTACAAGACGACTCGTTGGTGAAACTATATGACCTTGCAGAGATGAAAACATTCACAACGTTGCTAAGAGAAGTCATTCTGATGAAGCTGGAAATTGTTTTATTCAGGGAATATTGAGAGAGATTATTCTTATTAATATTTAACGAATAGTAAGTTTAACTAAATGTGTAAGAATTATTTTAAGGAATATTTTTAGAGGAAGTAAGGAAAGGGGATAACTATAAACATTAGCTGGAAAGTTGGAAATCATTTATTTCCCTTGTCCCTCCATTTTAATTACGATTTTGGTGTTGTGTTCTATGTTAATATAGGATCACAGTGTAATTCTTTCTAGTTGCTGTGAGGCTGTGCATCACTGATCTGGAAATCTGAAATATTCCAAAATGGTCCCCATGGGTGGCTGAAACTGTGACATCATTCCTTTCTGATGTTTCAATGTACAGAATTCCTAAAAATATTGTTACAAAAAAGAAATGCTTATTTTTTTAAAAATTATTGTTCTATGAACCACACCAAAATTGTGAGGACACAGGTGCTTTGTCAGATTTGTGGTAATAGGAAATACCAGCTCTACAAGACAAAACACATTCTCATGACCTTTTGATTCATGTCAGGATTTATTTATTTATTTATTTATTTGTCATGTCAGAAGCGAATTGAGGGTGCAGTTATAATGGATTTAAAAACACATAGTTAATAGCTTGTAAAGGTATCCCCTTGACATGAAGTCTAGTTGTGTACAACTCTGGGGGGTGGTGCTCATCTCCATTTCCAAGCCAAAGAGCCGGCATTGCCCGTAGATGCCTCCTAGGCCATGTAGCCGGCATGACTGCTTGGAGAGCCGTTACCTTCCCACTGAAGTGGTACCTATTGATCTACTCAAATTTGCATGTTTTCGAACTGCTAGGTTGGCAGAAGCTGGGGCTAACAGCGGAAACTCACCCCACTCCCCAGATTTGAACTGTCGACCTTTCGGTTGGCAAGTTCAGCAGTTCAGTGCATTAACCCCCTGCGCTACTGAGGGCTCAGTGAGTTAAAACTTGGCACTAGGCTAAATGTCCTTTGACAATAAGCTGGCCACTTGGAATGCCTCTGGTGTTGCCATGAGAAAGTTGGGCCATCCAATCCAACCTCCTTCTGCCATGAAGAAAAACCACAATCAAAGCACCCCGACATATGGCCATCCATTCGCTATGTTTAAGCCTCCAAGGAAGGAGCTTTCACAACACTCTGAGGCAGAGAGTTTCACAGTTGAACAGCTCTTCTTATGGTCAGGAAGTTCTTCCTAATGTTCAGGTGGAATCTCCTTTCCTCTCATTCGAACCCACTGCTCTGAGTCGTAGTCTCCAGGGCAGCAGAAAGGAAGCCTGCTCCCTCTTCCTCATAACATCCTTTCAGATATTTAAACATGGCAATCACAGCTCCTCTCAACCTTCTTTTCTGAATCTAAACAGACCCAGCTCTTTAAGCCACTCCTCAGAGGGATTCATGGTCTCCAGAACTTTGATCATTTCAATTGCCCTCATCTGAACATTTTCCAACTTAGAGTCAATGTCCCTCTTGAATTGCTTTGCCCAGAATTGGACACAGGGGTTGTGATTCCAGGTGAGGAGGTCTGACCAAAGTGGGACTATAATTTCCCACTAATTTAACCCACTGCTCTCGGTGGCGCAGTGGGTTAAACCCTTGTGCTGGCAGGACTGAAGACTGACAGGTCGGAGGTTTGAATCTGGGGAGAGTGCTACAAAATACACATGTGTCAGCTCCAGCTTCCCATGTGGGGAGATGAGAAGCCTCCTGGAAGGATGGTAAAGCATCAAAACATCCGGGCATCCCCTGAGCAACGTCCTTGCAGACAGCCAGTTCTCTCACACCAGAAGTTTATTTATTGTGTCAGGAGCAACCAGACAGTTGTATTATATTTTTAACAAAACAAACAGACAAACAAACAAAACACAAAGTTAGCAAGCTTGGTAGTTGATTAAATGTCCTTTGACCAGTATCTGGCCACTTGGAGTGCCTCTGGTGCTGCCGCAAGAAAGTCCTCCAGGGCTCAGGTTGCATTGCAGCAGGTGGTCAGTGGTTTGCTTTTCTCCACACTTGCATGTCGTGGATTCCACTTTGTAGCCCCATTTCTGAAGATTAGCTCTGCATCTCATACACCAAGTCACTTCTGACACATGCACATACACACACACAAAATTCCCTTGATCTAGACATCACACTCTGTCTGCTGCAGCCCAAAATCCCATTGGCTTTTTTAGCTGCTGCATCGCATTGTTGGCTCATGTTCAACTTGTTGTCCACTAGATCCCTTTCACATGACCAGTTTTTAAGTCAGGGATCACCCATCCTGTATCTATGCAGTAAAGGGAGGGAAGGGGGAGGAAGTTATCTTTAATACCACTGTTTAATGTTCCAGTGAGATCTAAACGGCTTCAATTTTAATCCCAAATGATTTTCCCCATCCTTCTTTTATGCAGAGATAACTTGTTATTTTGCTCGTAATGGCTCACTCCCACCATTTTTAACAACCTCTCGTTCAGTGCTGACATCCTTCCCTCATCCCATTGTCCCCATGCAATATAGAGCAGTGGATCATTTTGAAATCTTCTAACATATGCAATATAGTTTTTCTTTATTCCTCAAAACAGCTCTTCAGGTATGCTGGTACGCACATCTTAATTCCGTAAGGGATCTTCTATTATCCCCTCATTTAGGAGCCATTGTCAAATTCATCTTTAATACATTGTTTTATCACTTACAGTATCTGTGCCTACAAGATGAGTACAGAGCATGCAGATAGTCTATGGAGACATATCTAAGCTTGTCACTGTTGCCATCTCAGTCTTCTGTTGTCTGCCAAGCCTGGAGTAGAAACATATGGTGGGATGGCCACTTGGTCCACATGCGTCCAAGAAGCACGTCTCCTCAGCATTTGGTTTAGATAAGTGGTTCCCAACCTGTGGTCTGTGGACCAACAGTGGTCTGCAAGAACGAAAATACGGTCTGTGACCTCACCATTACTACACTGTTGCCTCGAAACCATGCAGCAACGAGACCGACTGATCTTGCACAACCCGCTTATAGTGCCAATGCAATGGTGATGTCGGGAGGGGAGAGGCTGACAACCCATGAAAGATTACTCCTACCACATCAGCTCTAGATTATTAAATATGGTTTTCTGTGGGCGAGCAGATGGCGACTACTGGGTGGCACATGTTCTGTATCAGAAACTAGAGCTGATGTGGTCTGTTGTTGTTGTTCATTCGTTCAGTCGTCTCCGACTCTTCGTGACCTCATGGACCAGCCCAGCCAGAGCTCCCTGTCGGCCGAGCTCCCTGTCAGCCGTCACCATCCATCCATCTTGCCCTTGGTCGGCCCCTCTTCCTTTTGCCTTCCACTTTCCCCAGCATAATTGTCTTCTCTAGGCTTTGCTGTCTCCTCATGATGTGGCCAAAGTACTTCAACTTTGTCTCTAGTATCTTTCCCTCCAGTGAGCAGTCGGGCTTTATTTCCTGGAGGATGGACTGGTTGGATCTTCTCGCAGTCCAAGGCACTCTCAGAACTTTCCTCCAACAGAAAGAAATCCGCTCTCCAGGTTGTTCGATCCATACTGATTCACTGGCACTTAGGGGAGAATGCACTTTTAATTACTGTCATTACTTTTTCCGTTGTATGTGGACTATGATCTCCCTTTAAGGTAATGTGGTCTATCCAATGCAATTTTCTGAATCAGCACTCCAAATAACCAAACCAAATCTAAAGTTGACAAAAAACCAATTCGTAACCCTTTGGGTGCTAATGTTGGGGAGTGGTTGCTGGTCAAAGTGGTCCATGGTCAAGTGGTCCCTGGTCAAAGGTTGGTCAAACAAAGGTTGGGAACCACTGGTTTAGGTTCTATATTTGGAGTTGAGTCTGTTTTTACTTGCTGAGCAAAACCCAGCAACCTCACATTTTAATTACTCCAGCTTTCAAAACCCTGAAAAAATACGGCCTTTGAGTGCTTAACGGCTCATCTTGTACAATTATCCTAGTGTCAGATAACAGAAAGAAATCCGCTCTCCAGGTTGTTCGATCCATACTGATTCACTGGCACTTAGGGGAGAATGCACTTTTAATTACTGTCATTACTTTTTCCGTTGTATGTGGACTATGATCTCCCTTTAAGGTAATTGCCACTGAAGCAAAGTATAAAGCACTGGAGGTTGGAAACTTTGGAAATGTAGATTCTCTGAGCTTGAATTCACACACATCCGTGCACATAAATATCTGCTACATTTAGTAGACTCAATGGATTAATTACACAAAAAAGCAATCAAATACATGTCTGCTCTGAAGACACTATCAATTTTGGTTCTGTTACACTTCTCAGAATCCACCTCACCCCCCCCCCCCCCCCCCCGCACTCTCCAAATTCATCACTGGGCTGTGAGACATTATTAAACACCCACCCGTACACCCCTTGCACAGAATCTCATGTAGATTTTGATATATGCTTGTCCCATATGGATTGGCAGTTGTATTCCAAATCATTAACTTCAAATTTTTGATTGCTAACAGTATAATTATGCATTTCTGCACTACTATGCAGATTATAGTAGCTTCAAACAATTACATAAAATTACAGTATAGGAGATAATAAAAATGGATACCAACAGAAAAAAATGTACATTTCCC